AGAAGAATATTTTCTTATCTACCATAAGCTACTCCTGATTGGTGTTAGCTTCTTCCGATTTAGCAACACTTTTCGGCAAACCCTCTATACAGAAGTTCAAAAGAAGCTTCTCAAGTGTTCCTGAATAAAAAGAAAGAAAACAATAACTGGAATCTCAGTGTAAGGTCGCTTTTGTGGGCTAAAGCACTATTCATGAAATAAATAAGCGTTTAATATGCCTACAAATCAGTATCGTGGTCGAGATATTTTAATCCATGGATTTTTTCTTCTTTTTTCCAGGACCTTGTAGCAATCCCATGCCTTAATGCACTTCACTTTCAGAAAGAATGTGAGAGAGTCAGTCAGCGAAAAGCTCGAAGAGACATCTAATGAAGCGCCAGAATGGATCAGGGAAGGACGTATTGCCCTTCCCCGTATTCTGTTTGCTTTCCAACGCAACATCATTCGCAATGAACTCGGTTTTGTCAAAAAGGTATGTTATTTGGTTCAAGCTATATAAATAGCTTCGAATAAAATCTACAGCTGAAGCTCTGACGACTGAATGATTTCAACTAGTACCCAGGTGTATTTGTCATATACAGTTTGTTGAGCCAATTTTAGCGTGAAATATGCGATAAATTGGAGCACAATTTGGAATCGCAGATATATTCTGTGCTCAAATGCTACAGATTGGTAGAGCAGTCTAGGTGAGGCTTTTTTCCCATGCTCACTTGCCAACGTTATTCTGAAGTTCGTTATTATTTTTCAGCGGCGACTCTCTGGGATACGTGCCTGAGAATGACGCGTTTGTCAATGTGATGCAGCCTGTGCTGGTGAATGTGAACCCTTTGGCCGACATTCTTCAAATAGCTTTAGGGAAAGACTTAGTTGAAGATGGAGACGATAAATCAGAAAGTATGACACTTCTGGGCCTGTTCCTTATTGTATGTGGAGCTCTACAGAATACGTCCCGATTTCAAATGCTATTATTGTTTAGAAACACCATCTTTCACGAGATTTTTGCGTACGCACATCGATTCTCTGAGAGCGAGTAAATCGAAAATCTATGAGGTCATTCTTGCCTATTTGGTACTTTATGGAATTTCATCAATTCTTTCTATTTTTAGGTTCCCAAACTGGAGCTCTGGGTGAAATACGCACGAGCTTTGCTAGACCTCATAAAGCCAGACTCTGAAATGTTAACAAGAAAGCTGCTCAACCAATACGTCAATAGGCAGTTGCAGTTTACTAGAATGTGGGTGCTCTATCCAATCATTCTCGATTCTTCATGACTTCAGAAATGTTTGCATGTCGTTAAGCGGTTAATTCATTTTACGACATCTTTGTTTGTTTCTTTGTGACAAGGTGTTTTGTCCGAATCTCGACACTTATTTGTACATCACTTTCTGCGGTCCAAAGTGCTATTTTAGGCTCAATGCTAAGCACGTAAAGGAAGCGATTGCTCGGTATACTGGAGCGTCTTCTGGCTTCGGTAAAGGGAAGGCCATAACTGATCGTGCTCGAAACCAAGTCGTGTTCACTAAAGCAGAACATGATGAGAAGGTACCATTTACTCATTAATTTTAGGTTTATGAGTTTGCTTCCGGAAATGTACCATTTCAAGGTTGCTATGGCCATAGCATATCTTGACGCAGTTTTGGTTGGCAATCGGGATGAAGCTGTCGCTCAAATTCGAGCCGCGTGCGACAATCTCTGGCAAGGCGGAATGCGTGGTTGTGAGCAAGTATCGATGACTGGCAACCGCTGTCAGTTGAAGGTTTGATTTTTGCCCTTTAAGGCGACGCCCACATTAGCTAAGGAGGCTCCTTATTCCCTTCCAGCGGCGCTTTATCTGTTAGCTCTCGACCTTTCTCGTATAATCGTAGAACAAAAGCCTGTACTTCCGATGTTTTCGACGATTTCTTCTTCGGTGGCCCACTTCGCACTACGAGTCTCATATTTGAGCCGATTCATCACATCAACATGATCGAAGGGTGTGCTTTAACACGTTGACGACAACGCGAGTTTTGGCACTTTTGGCCACGTGGGACCACGGCGTTTTTGCGGGCGCCGCCGCCTCAGGTCGTTCAAGCAAATTTTGAGTGATAAAAACATAAATAATGATCAATACAAGGCCAGATCAATATATTGTAATGAGCACAACCTACTCGGAGGTACAGTAGCGGAATTTCTATTGAAAGACATGGAATAACAATGAAAAAGTGATATTCTTTAGAACAAGCTGCAATGAACTTCAAAGCAATTTTAAGTTGATTATTTCCAATCAAAACACACATATTGTCATCTCTAAGGTTCCGTATCTACTTCTACTACTATTTAAACCTTCACATTCATAAAAAGAAAAAGTAAACGAAAAATTTATTAAGCTGAAGATTTCGTATGGTTCAGAAATCCTCCTCTAAATTGAAGCATACGTGACCATTCTATGGACCACTATGTTTGTAGCTAGGTCAAGGTCTCCTCCATTCAATAATTACAAGAAACTTCTAGAAGAACCAGGCGTGCGCGAAAAAAATTAGTGTAATGGGTGCGGGGGATATATCCCCCGCACGGTCCGACACGGCCTGCAATGCGCGGGATATATATCCCCCGCGTTGTCGTCAATGTGTTAAATTCTTCCCGCACGGTGACGTCTCCTAAAATTTGAATCGCTTGCCCACTGGCAGGCATGAATTGAAAGTCCTTTTTGATCTCGTGAAATCTTCTGGAGGAGGGGGAGTAAGACAAAGACGCTATCGTGTTAATTTCGATTTTCTAACTGCCCCCACATCTCGCAATCAAGGGCATTTGCAACTCTGCAGCAGGAATCCCAAATACTAAAGTCAAGGAATTATTAAAAGCCTGACGGTTCTTCCTTGGCCGTGGCTTACCATGGCCTTGTTATTCTCCATTTTGGATGGTCGAGTACCGATGTGTTGAATTAGATTTTTTACATTTATTTTGCAGGTTCATCCAACCGTAGGCGATGCCTCTGTAGATCCATCTGCGTGGGAAATGCATTCGAACGACATCACGTATTTATCTACATGTTCTTGTGGTCGGCGACAAGCAGTGCGCAGAGATCCGTTTACCTTGAAAGTACGATTATATTTGAATGGCCTCGTCCTTGGCACTGAATACGAAAACAAAAAAGGAACGATTTTAGGAAGCGAATTATGACTTCTACTTCGAGAATAAGGTGTTCTCATGCTGCGCAGGTTTGGAAAAACACGTGTTCGCTGTACTGGAGGACGATGATACCGATGTAGAGAAGGGTTTGGTTAGGTACATATGTTCCCATCTATTCATTTTTTGCTTTTTTCATCAACTTGGTAAATTTTTAGTGGCCAGTTAACGATAACTGGGATGAGGGCGAAGGTGGTGGCTCCAATCCTTTGTTTCCTGTGACAGCAGCTATGTCGCGTGATCGGCAAAATTCAGCAGAGGACCATCATCCCGTGGAAGTGGACGAAGAAGAGGGAACTGGAAGTGACACAGGCGAAGATTCGGTTAGCTTCCACTTTCGGTTTAATACTTTAGTTTCGCGCCTAAAGGTGCTAGATCACAACAAGTTGTTAAATTCATGAAAAACTTTGTTGTGACCGAATGAAGCATTTTGATATTTCCATTATCCAAGACATAGTAAGCAACCAAGTCTCTTTAAGGACTGTAGAATGGTTCGAGCTATTCTTAAGGGATATTCATTCAGTCTTCATGGTGGAATAGTATTTGAAACCATTTTTCATATTTTCCGTTATTCATTCAGGTGAGCAATGCCGAGCCTGATCCGATTGAAAGCTCTTCCCAATCTTCGCAAGATGACGATGTTCACTATCGCAATACGCGATCTTATTTGGACGATGAAGCAGGTTGGCTCCTAGCAAATTCTTGAAAGTGTTGTAGTGGTGATTATCTAGCTCGTGCCCAAAATCAGTTATGACCTAATGCACACATAGTTAGGTATGATCAGAATGTCGATCGCAACCCTACTGAATAAAATGTCATAGTTGCATGCCAGCCCCCTATCTCCTAAAAGAACGTTGTTATAGTTTCATTTGTGAAGAATCCTCATACAAAGTTGGACGAGGAGGCTGCTATTGCTTTCGAAGCTCGACTGAAGAAGCTGAGGCCAAGCAGGTATGTATTCATGGCTTTTCAGTGGTTTGCAGAACCTTCTACTTTTGGTCATATCATTTGGTCATCATTGTCGTTACACCCTAATGCGCATTCATCATAACTGTTTTCAAGGTTCCATTCCTGGAAGGTGTGCCACACTCACTGTCACCAGCGTATGCCCTTTTTTCCGTCTGTGGACGTTGTACTGTATCCGGTCCCCAATAATTATTACACGTAAGCGACTTCTGGCGCTTGTGCCGCTGTCTAGTTATGGTTGAGCTTCATTGTAGGCATTCTTATGGTCTCCGTGATCAGCCGAACTGAAGTTGTGGAGAATACTTATTCGTCCAGTGCACTGAGCTCTCGATATTTTAGCTATAGGGATTGGAATCTGGATGGTATACGATACGGGCAGAGTCATCAGTATCTAACAGTTTTTCAGCGTCGATCAGTGTAGTTTGCGATGAGACATCGCAATATTATGCAATAGCTAGGAAAAGTTTTCATCCAGTGGGATCTCCTCGAAAGAAGCGCGGACGAGTTGCCAGCAGAGATAGAGAAGGTTTACCAAGTTAATAGAAATGTTTACAGGTCATAGATTTCAGTGTTTTCAGGTAAAGCTTTTTGTCGGGATGGAATACGAGTGTCCTCGTGGTCATCGTTTCTTTGTGGCTGAAAATGGAGAGCCTCTCTCGAATGCAAAGGGTTGGACTTTCAAGCAGTGGTTTTGTTTGGTTTGAATTATGTGTTCTCGCGTGGAATACGACTGCGATGCTGCTAATTCAAACAAAGTCGCCAGATGCGACGATGTGGTCTTAAGTGCTGAGTCAATGAACAATGACCTAAACAGTGCCCGCAACCTTGAATTGCTCTTCCTTTGAAGGACAATTTGATCTTTCAGCGTCTTGTCTAAAACAGGCCCAATACAGCGTTTGCAACACAGTTTTACCTTGTAGGCAATGTTGGCACGATACCAGCTATTTCATTGTTTACTATCGGAAATCAGCGAAGGATCTATTTTAAGAGTCCTCATTTTGCGAGAATTCGGGTTGGGGCAACAGCTCGTCTTAGGGGGTTTTCTCCTCTGCCACACCGGCGAGACTACTTTCATTTTGGTTGGATGCCCAATAAGTGCGATCACTGCATTTAGGCCTTTTTGTTGTAATATCTAGGGCGAAAGGTAAAATTGCCTAAGATGAGGTGTAATCTTAAATCGAATTTTGTTTTTATCTCTTGAAATCTTTTGGGTCCTTGTATTTCGAACTCAAACGCTCAGGGCACCATGAGCGGAGAAATCAGAACATGACCACTTTTCTGGCGCATGGACTTCCTTTGCGGCCGTCAATTGCACTTGCAGAAAACGTTGGTCACGAACCGTTCAAAAACTGCGCAACGAAATGCAGAGTTAATTGAGTCAACGAAGGCGCCATCACTGTTATCCATTCGCAGCCGGAAAATGTGCACGGAAGGAGGTTGAGGTTAGTGCTACGGGCTTGACTATTTTTTTTGGCACTCGAGGGCATGCTGGTATGTAGGCCATGTTCATTTCATTTAGCTTCCCTGCGGCAAAAGGTCATTTCGGCACAGGGAGGACACGTTGACAGCTCTCATGGGCTAGGTGATTTTTGCATAATTTCTCATTGTGTCTTCCTAAGAATTCGATAGTGTATGTTAGGTATTCAGGTATTATATTTTGCAACTCCCCTTCATATATTCTGGCCCAGCTGGAGTCTGGATTCCTCCGGTAGGAGTGGAGCGGGTTGGAACATTCAAAGGAAATGCGATTCAAGTGAAATATGTGCCAATGTTGTCAAGAAGGTGATAGAAAATTGCACCTCGTTAAAGTTATTGCTTATTGCGGGTAACTGTTCCGGTTGGTAACAGATGTACGTTTATTTGATGTTTATGGCAAAAGAATTAATCTTTACGCTTGTCTAGTTCTCATATGTTGCATTTGTTGTTTGTTGTGATAAATGCTCATAGCTACGTATGCTTGATTCTTACGGTAGACAATGTCTATAATGCAGGGGAGTGTTGTTATTTCTGAAGCGCTAAGTTACAATAAATCCAGATAAGTCTGTTTTCAAATGTTACTCCGGCCAGGAAATTAATTAAATGGAAAGCTGTTGCGACATGTTATGGATAAAGCCATTCTTAGATGTGTACTCTGAGATTTACACGCACGCTCTGAATCTTTTAATCACGTCTAGAATGCCTGGGTGTCGGTTTTTCATTATTGTTGGTACGATTTATGTTACTAAAATCGATCATTAAGGGCACAGCGAACGTAATGTACTAAGTGATTTACTATCAGAGAAGAAATGAGCAGGGGTTCGCAAGTAGAGTTTTGGCTGTGCAACTACTACCAATATAGTCATTTACAGGTGGCTGTTAGGTCAGTCAGTGCAATAGAGGGATTTTATAGCTACAAATCAACGCTTGCCAAGCAGCATGCGTTGGGAAAACATGTGCAGGCGAAAAATCGAGGATTTGTGTGAATGGTTGTGGGAGTCGGGTTCCGCTTTGGAGCAAGCTATCGGCTACCATTTACTACTCCGCGTCAGCAGAGCGGATCTGGGCGACATCAGTCAAGTGATTTAAGAACACGGAACTCGTTGTGCCAGTATATTGCGATCAGTGTCATTCTTGGTAGTCGGAGTCTCTGCGAGCGAGTTCTTGTGAGAGAAGGCACTTTTGTTTGCCACGGAGAGCATACAAATAACCAATCAAATTCGGAAGTATGTTTTGAATTAATGTGTCAGAGTATATTTCAAATTGATGTGTCGGTTGTTTTAACAGTGAAATTAATGAGTGTTCAAAAAAGTTCCTTGTGAGTAAAGCTGGTCTGGTCCCGTAAATCCGCACACCGGAATACGTGAAGACACAATTTATGACCCTCCATGTGTTCATTGCTTCCGTTTTAGGCCTGAGGTGAAGAGGCAAGCGGTGCTGCTTACCACTTATGGTTCGGCGATCAAATCCTGGACCGCACCAGGTTTCCAGGCCAATCAGGCTTACCATTTCCAAATATCGGTTAGAGCTCTCTGTGAGGATAAAAAAAATGACTTGTACATCGGCTGGCCCCCGCAAGTCATTGTATAGGCCACATCGCATTCAAACGCCACTGCGGTACAAATGGAAGTAGAATGCGTGCCGCATCCCGAAAAGGGAGTGAGCATCACCAGGCTCTTTATTCTTTGATTCTTCATCACATCATACTGGAAGCAGTTAATTCTATTTTCACTCACCTTAATTTGCACTAGATGCGTAATTCCATGTTAGACGAAGAGCCAAAAATTGAAGATAGAAAGAGTTAGTGCCAGGGAAAGAGACTGGTGAAATATTAGAAAAAGAATAAATAAGGCCGACAATGCTGGTTGAAAGACCGTACTCCTGAGCGTGTAGTCCTTTACAGCTGACTGGCTGGTCTGGTGGTGACCTACAGTAACGCAAGCGCGACCACTCACCTGTCAATTGGTCATGATAGTCGATGCAATCACATAACACCAGAAAATATGATCGAAATATTATTGCTGTCATATTTCATATTTTCAACTCAATCGACAGGATGCTTCAATGATTCGAGGGGTTTATAAAGGTGGATTCCGATATTGCTGACACTGCCACTGCTTCTACACCAGTGAAGCCCTCTTCGGAAGATATGCTATACGAACTGTTATTCTGGAAAGTAAGAGACGAGCCAGAAAGGGATGCTAGATGGGTGAGGTAGGTGAAATTGAAGCACTTCTGTTGGTAGGTTTTTCCCCTTTCGTAGATTCTTCTTTGGTTAAGCACATAGTTCCAGAAAGGTTTAGCACTTAAAACGTGTGTCTTATTTCAGAGAGATTCACGTCCATAGGATCGTCACGTTCGGTTTCGACAGGAAAAAACATCTGGTAATCCTAAGATGCCATAGCGTTAAGTTTTAGTGACTCATTTTCCTTCAGTTGTCAAGTACATAGTGGTTGCTCTAAGTGACTGGGTAGGGGGTGTATCAATGAGGTTAAAAAAAAAAAAAACCCCATAGTAGCATGATCTAACAAACTGTTCTTGACTACTTTCTATCGCTTCACGCATCCATCACCAGCTGTGAGTTGTGGGTATTCCCACCTACCGAAAACTACCAAATCACCACCTGAAAGACTCATCAGCTTGAACTTAAAACCCAAGCTATGCCCTCTACCAATCAAATTTTCAACCCTTCATTCAACTCTGTTTCAAAAACCTAGAGAAGTGTTAAAATCTAGCCTTTCCAATAAAAACTTCGTTGAATTAACTTTCAACTTGGCTCAGTCTTCCTCCCAACCCACATGGGAAGCAAGAGTCCATAAGTCACATCAAACGACGTCTGGTCGGACACGTCGTGTATAAAATGATTTTACTGCTATATTTTAGGTCCGAGAGTGCGTAAGAATGGAATTTTCCGACAGTTATCTGCCAATGAATCTTAGCAGTCTCGACCAGCTCCTGGTAAACAAATAGAACAATTGTTAATCAGTTGTAGTGAGTTGCCATAAATGATACATATGGCTCTTAGAACCAGAAACACATGCTCTTAGGCTACGCCTCTTCAATGTAGTAGTCGTTTCCTTCCATGAAGTAGAGAGGAAACGAGCTAGTTGCGGTCCAACGCAACCATTGTCTACTAACAAGGGAGGTCGTTCAGGGTGTGCCAAGCTTTTTCAAAACGGTTTTTGCATGATATAGGGGCACATGCGGGAACCACAGAACCATGGTTAATTTTTCCTGAACGGCCCTCTGAATACCAGAAAAGGGGGTCCCTAGTTCGATTCCTCGTGGTGACAAATTTTTGCATTTCGAGTTGACGTTTCAAAATTCGCGCAAAATGGAGTTAGCATGAATAATTAGTACCATATTCATGATTAGGACCGTCAGTAACCCTTACAAATAGACTTTGATTAAAAAACTGGTGAAAAAGGTGTGACACCACAGTGGGGCCGTTTTGGTGTCACACCTTTTTCACCAGTTTTTTAATCAAAGTCTTTTTGTAAGGGTTACTGACGGTCCTAATCATGAATATGGTACTAATTATTCATGCTAACTCCATTTTGCGCGAATTTTGAAACGTCAACTCGAAATGCAAAAATTTGTCACCACGAGGAATCGAACTAGGGACCCCTTTTCTGGTATTCAGAGGGCCGTTCAGGAAAAATGAACCATGGTTCTGTGGTTCCCATATGTGCCCCAATGTCATGCAAGAAACCATTTTGAAAAAGCTTGGCACACCCTGAACGACCTCCCTTGTAAGAGCCGGACCCTATTTCTGAACTGAACCCCATGACTCAGATATAGCTATGTTATTGCTTTACTTCCAAAGAACAAACACCACGATGCACCACATATTCATACATCATTCAGAGAGAAGCACTATGAAGCGTTTCCCTACTGCCCACACAATGACTTGTGGAGGCTAGTCGTTGCTTGCAATAGTGCACATATGCTCCCAGGTGAACTTGCCAGCGATTAATGGGATTATAGGAATGGCGCTCAATTGTCCTGACTAGGATTACTTCCACGTGTCCTTCGAACAACTCCCATCAAGCTGGTTCATTCTTGGGTATTTTTGTCATTTTTATCGAA